ACATCATCTGATCAGACAGATAAGGCAAAGGTAACATGGGTATCAATCAGGAGTTTTAGTGTACATCATCTGATCAGACAGATAATGAGAAATTGTATAATGAGATCATAGTTGTTACCAGTAAGAATAGTGATATAATTGTTAGTTTTAGTGTACATCATCTGATCAGACAGATAAGGCAAAGGTAACATGGGTAACAATCAGGAGTTTTAGGGTACATCATCTGATCAGACAGATAAGGCTAATGAGAAATTGTGTAATGAGATCTTAGTTGTTACCAGTAAGAATAGTGATATAATTTTTAGTTTTAGTGTACATCATCTGATCAGACAGATAAGGCTAATGAGATCATAGTTGTTACCAGTAAGAATAGTGATATAATTTTTAGTTTTAGTGTACATCATCTGATCAGACAGATAAGGCTAATGAGATCATAGTTGTTACCAGTAAGAATAGTGATATAATTGTTAGTTTTAGTGTACATCATCTGATCAGACAGATAAGGCTAATGAGAAATTGTATAATGAGATCATAGTTGTTACCAGTAAGAATAGTGATATAATTGTTATGGAACATTTTAATTTTAAACACATTGATTGGGGTTGTATGGAGTCAAATAGTCAGTACAGAGCAGACTACTGAGAATGACATTTTAGAATTATTGTTAACCCCAAATGAGGAAAAGAGAGATCAGTGCATACTTAGGTTTCTTGTTTTGCTACATCTTGAGTGAAAAATTAATTTTATTTCCTAATCTTCAAAAAACTAATTTTGAGGCCATGAGATAAATATTATCATTAGTGAATTATGATAATGAGTTGAAATTCAAGATAGGCATGTTTCTAAAATGAAAAGATCAAATCCTATTGACTTACATAAGACAGAAAGCAGAAAATCAGGGATAGTTTCCTCAAATTTCAGAAGCTTCAATTGAGTAATAGGTTGAAGATTTACAAAACTATAGGAAAACTAGGTATTTTGTACAAAAAAGAAATTAGGTAATCTAAAAGGACTTATAACAAACAGCTCGTTGATAATGTTAAAACTACCAGGAAAAGTTTTATAGCC